AGAGCCGAAACCAGTTTGGCTCAGTGGATAGAGCATCAGCCTATGGACTGAGAGGTCCCAGGTTTGATTCCAGTCAAGGGCATATACCTTGGTTGCAGGCACATACCCAGTGGGGGGTGTGCAGGAGGCAGCTGATCCATGTTTCTCTCTCATTGATATTTCTAACTCTCCATCCCTCTCCTTTCCTCTCTGTAAAAAATCAATTTTATATGTATAAATTTGAAAATATATTTTATATATATATATATATATATATATATATATATGAGAGAGAGAGAGAGAGAGAGAAAGAGAGAGAGAAATAAAAAAAGTGGGAACAGGAATCCAGGAGGTTTGAGATCTGATAAAGGAGTATCTGGAATGAAAGGACAGAAAACTGGAGGGGAGGGGAGAATTATAAAGAAGTGGTGCTTAAAATTTTGTCAAACTTAAGTTTCCAGGTTGAATTACACACTGACTATCCAGCACAAAAATGAAATTCCAAAATACCAGGAAGAAAATATTCTAAAATACCTGGGGTATTTTAAATAGAAAGGTCACAAGAATCAGAAACTAGAAAAGAACAGGACTTCAGAAGCAAACCTGAAGCTAAAATATAATGGAATAATGCCTTCTAAACTCTGTTGGAAAGGGTTTCTATACTGAGAAACCATAGAATTCCATACTGAATCCAAAAACCAATTAAGTGTAAGAGTGAGGGTACAACCAAGGCACTTCCAGACATAAGAGATTGTCCCATGAATCCTCTATTCTCTCCCACTCCCCCAAAAAGCAACAGAATATATTTTACTAAAATGGAATATAAAGAAAAGGAATTCTCTCCAGCAAAGAGACAGGTAATTCAGCACTGAAGAGGGAAGAAGGAAGGCCCACCGGGACAGCTGTGCAGAGGGCCAGAGAGCCAGTTCAGTCTGGAGTAAGAGAACACAGGACACTACCAGGAGGGATAGTTTAAAAAAAAAAACAAAAAAAAAAACCTTGGCTATATATGTCCAACTGTACAAAGGATGACTCATTTGGAGAGTCTGAGGTAAATTAATGACAAAGACCAAAAAAATCAAGTAAGTGTCCTTTTACAATTAACTCTAGGAAAAACAGAAAGTTAGATGAGAAAAAAAACATAATGATAAAATACTGTGTAGCTTAGATGTGACTATTTCTGTCATAATCAATTGATGCATCCTAAAATTAGTAAAAAGCTACATAGGAGGATATGTGTTGGAAGCCGCCCATTGCCTTCGTAGCAGAGAGGTGTGGTGGACAAGGAACCCAGAAGGCTGGTCAACCTTGAAGCTCTGAAAGGTCAGAGCCAACCACCCACTGTTCAGTTGAGACAATGGTAGCTAAAGCAACTTCTACCTTGTTTTGTGTAAATCCCTGCTGACTGGCTATTATTGAATTGCTTGCTTAAAGGCTATGATGTATCCTATAGTCTTAATAAAAAAGAAATAGCAAGGCCAGAGTGGGGTGGAGTCCTTCCCCTTTAGTTGAGCTCCTGCCTGGCCCCCAATATTTCTAAATTAATATTTTCTAGTCTCTCATTTGCGTGCAGCCTCCTCCAGGGCTGGAGCCCTAAACCTGTACCCTGAACCAGTAGTGAAAGGGGTTCACCACAGATACGTTAAAAAAAAAAAAAGTACCATAAAAGGAGGAGGTTAATTGTTAAAAAAAAATTAAACCTTTACTACCCAAAATAAAAAGCCAATGGATAATGTTTAAAATTTACAATTCAAACAATAGCCATATAGGCATGGAATTTATAAACAGAGGCAAACAACTAAGTAAAACCAAACAGCTTTTTTTGTTAACCCTAACTGGAAGACTTTTTAAAAATATATATTTTATTGATTGTTTTACAGAGAGGAAGGGAGAATGATAGAGTTAATCAGCTGCCTCCTGCAGACCTCCTACTGGGCATGTGCCTGCAACCAAGGTACAAGCCCTTGAACAGTCTGCAGGACAACGCTCTACACACTGAGCCAAACTGATTAGGGCCTTAACTGGAAGATTTTTTTTTCCTCATTGCATTTCAGAGAGGAAAAGATAGAAGGGGAGGAAGGGAGAGGGAGATGGAGAAGGAGAGGGAGAGGGAGAAAGAAAGACAGAGAGAGAGAGAGATATCAACTGGTTGCCTCCCACACCCACCCCAACTGATACTTGCAACCCAGGAGGGGTAAGTGCTCTTGACCAGGCATCGAACCTTCAATCACAGGCTTATGCTCTAACCAATGAACAGGCTTCAGTGCACAGGCTTATGCTCTAACTAATGAACAACACTGGCCAGGGCCAAATAGCTTTTATTAAGTAATTATATCTAGGTAATAAAATAGGAATGAGAGGAGGGGGTAGGAATTTGCTGTTTTTCTTAAAGTACCCATAAGACTAATATTTTTAAACTACAGACATAATGCTTTATAAAATATGAATTTCAAAAATAGAAAATCAACCAATGATTACCTAGTCTAAGGGGTTACTTTTTATCTCATATTGGGATTATGGATCTTTGGAACAAAAGCATTTAGTCTCATAGCAAAAGAGGACTTACAAATTTAGCAAGGCTAATTTTGGTTTTGAAGCTAGTTCTCTGCTTAACTTCCATTATACAAAATTTAAATAAATAACAACATGAATAAAACTGCAGCTTTCAATTCATTTCCCCAGGACCTCACAAATCTGCTTTAGCCTCTAATCAATGAGTGGAAAATCAGATAATCAGGCACTTTGTCTAAATTCTCAAAAGCCCCCAGCAATCAGGATTATTTACATCAAACTTAACAAAAGCCTCCCCCCTATTGAAAAAAAAAAAAAAAAAAGAGAGAGAGAGCATATGTCAATGTACCCTATATGCAAATAGTCTAAAGGGCACAAATCCAAGCTGCTGTTTTTGTAATAACCACCAGCTAAGAATGGTTTTAATACTTTTTAATGTTTAAAAAATAAAAATATTACTTTGTGACACATGAAAAAAATAACCACATGAAATTCAAATCTCAAATCTCAATATCGGAAGGTAAAGACTTATTGAAACAGCCGCATTCATTAATGTCTGCATCTATGGCTGCTTTCTAGTAGTGATGGCAGGGGTGGTGGGGCCACAAAGCCCTAAGCTATTATAATATTATCCGGTCCCTCTCAGAAAAGCCTGTGACCCCTGAGCTAAAGAACTCTAGTTCCAAATTTTATTTTAAATAAAGTTAAGACACATTCATGTATTTAAAAACTGTACATCTAAAAAGTCCTTGAATTAAGGATAAAGAAACTTAGGGATGAGCTAAATAATCTTGAAAGGGAAAAAATCCAGAGGAACTAAATAAGTTGTTTAGGGTCAGGCAGGTAAAAGGGAACAGAATCAAGATTAGATTAGAGTCTTCTGACTCAGAGAGGTGCTCTCTTAGATAAGCATCTGTTGCCAAAATTTTAACCCCAATACTCCTTTGTTTCTATTCTACTCTTCAACTTTCTATTACTCAGTAACTTATTCACTTTAGTTAAAATGTTAATAAAACATGCTTTTAAAATTTGATCTTCCCCAAATACTTAAACATATAGAAACTTACTTATGACTGTGCCAAAAAAGCAAACAAAAAACACAGTTGAGAATAGTGGTTAAGGACAGTCTTTGTCTTTGCAGATGCCCAGGCTCTTATCTCTGACCCCAGAGCATCAGTCTGGCCTCATAATCCCCCAAATTTCTCTCAACTTCAGTTTTCTCACCTCTAAAAGTGAGGATAGTACCCACTTTTAGTGGGGTGGGACTGAGTAAAATAAAGGATATGAAAAACTTAATGTTCTATCACAGAATTAAGAGCTCAAGAAATGTTGCCTATATTACGTTGTTGTCTTATCACATCCAAATATTTTCATAATCATTCATTATCCCTGAAGAGCTTCTCAGGCACTGTTCTCAAACTGCAGTGCCCATAAGAGCCACACTTGTGAGCTTGTTGATGCCGATTCCCTTGGCCCTACTCCCAGCTACACTGACTGTTTAATCTGGAAGAGGCAGGAATCTGCACTTTCTTTTTTTAAAATTGATTTCAGAGATGAAGTGAGAAGGAAAGAGAACTAGAAAACACCAATGATGAGAGAAGATCATTGACTGTCAACCTTGTACACTCCACACTGGGAATCAAGCTGGCAATCTGAGTATGTGACCTGACCAAGAATTGAATTGTGATCTCCTGGTTCATAGGTGGATGCTCACCCACTGAGCCAAGCTGATCAGGCAGAAATGTGCATTTTCAAGCTCAAGTTGACAATTGGAGGCAGGTAGTCCATGGGATAGAAATAGTGTTCCTAGATACTGAATCAAATCCTGAGAAGTTAAGAGACAATCAAAAGCCTAAATAATCACAGCTTTAATTAAGTAGTCTACTTAATCAAAGGTGCTGAGTACTACTCATTTTTTTTTTTTTTTGCAATTTTTCTTTTTTACAACAGTCCTAATTTTTTTTTTTCAATTTAAACTTGTGTTGGGATCTAAGTTAACTAATGTTATACACATAATACAAGATTATTTTATAATTTATGAAGGTTAGGACTTCCAGTTATACAACCAACTAAACAGTTAAGGAACTCAAAATGGCCAGTACTCACGTCCAATGGATCTTCAGTTTTCTACTTTGGAATTCAGCCACACAACCTTGTTACTATTTCCAGAAAATTTAAAACTGACCCGTTTTACTTATAGTATATTTGAAAACAGAAAGAAAAAAAATGTAACCCTACTGTATAATACAAACTGATACAAGCTAAAAATCTGGCTAAAAATAAGCAAGAAACTAAATATGTTCTATATTAATAACTAAATATGTTTTATATTAATAACTAAATATGTTCTATATTAAGAACCCCTGATGTGTAATACATGTGAGGTGAAGTGCATGCAACAGCCACACCTCAGGGCAAGGTTTTTCCATTTAAGAATTCAAAAAAAAAAAAAAAAATAGAGTTGACAATGGTGAGAGTCTGAGAATGTAAAGGTACTGGCTTGCAATTACCTTGCTCCAGTCTATGGCACAGGGAGCGCCTTGCTGCTTCCATCTCCGGAGTCGGATTATCTAGGACGTGTCTACACCACTGCAAAGGGCTCAGGGATTTTTCTGATGATGAGAATGTCTTTGAAGACCCAACGTATAACCTTGAAAAGAGAAATCTACATTATAGGTATTATTTAAGTATGTAGAGATTATCTGTCTTCTAGAGAAAATAACACACATTTATTAACAATTTCTATCAAAACAGAATTCACATTTGATTTAGTTTAAATATCAAAATTACTTTTTAACAAATATCCCCAAATAGAATGGGGCTGCAGCTTGATGGGAAGGACTCCAAAAACTGTGAAAATATTTCTCAGAGTCAGAGATTTGAGGCTTTTGTTATTGAACTAACCTTGAAGAGATACCAAGATGATCTGACTACCTCACTTTTCCAGAAAGAAACATTTTCATCTCTTTCTTGGCAATAGAATCTTACATGAACTTGAGCTAATGTATGTAAGCATGACATAGCAAACAAAGCAAATCTTATGTGCTTTTTACAAGTGAATGTCAGTTGTTTATTTATGCTCTCAATTTTCAAATAATCAGATACTTCTCCAATCAAAGTCTATTCTAAATTTGGTAAGTGCTTCTTTCTTATTAAAGCCAAACAAACAGCTTTCAGATGTATGTTTAGGAAGAGTTCACTTCCAGCATCTATACCATCCTATATAATAAAAGGCTAATATACAAATTGACCAAATAGCAGAATGATGGATTGCTATGACACACGCTGACCACCAGGAGGCAGACGCTCAATGCAGAAACTTCCCCCTGGTGGTCAGTGTGCTCCCACAGAGGGAGCACCGACCAGGCTCATGGCAGGCGAGCACAGCAGCGATGGCAGGAGCCTCTCCGCCTCTGTGGCAGCACTAAGAATGTGTGACTTAGACCTGCTCCCCATGGGACATCCCCCGAGGGCTCTCAGACTGTGAGAGGGCACAGGCTGGGCTGAGGGATCCTCCTTCATGAATTTTGTGCATTGGGCCTCTAGTTACTTAATAATGGGTAGGACTCAAAATAACAAGGAGGCACTATAAGTTAAAAGATTTCCTCTCATTGATATACTGTGCTAAGATAAATTTTAGAATTTCACTGATAAGGTTAAACAAAAAGGTTTATCTTGAGGATTAACCAATAGTTAACTAAAAAAAGAAAATTATAATCACTGACTAATAATTGACCTTATTTTACAAAGCTGCATTCTAATTATAAATCTCATTAAAGTAATATTTCTTCAAAGTTACCATAATTCTAATGACTGCACTTTCTTGAAACACTTCATTATTCACTCTTTTACTGTTTATAGTCAGGACTCCCACCTACTAGAGTAATTTATCAGTTATCCATGATGGTTGGGGGATATACTGTGCATTGGTAAATTATTCTTTTAAGTCAGGGATGGGCAAACTTTCTGTAAAAGGCCAGCTAGTAAGCATTTAGGTTTTGTAGGCCAGGCTTTGTCACAATCACTCAATTCTATATATTGCAGTCCAAAAACATCATAGATGATATGCAAATGAATAAGTTCCTATAAACTTTACCTAAAATAACAGTTTTATATACATTAAAAGCTGATTTTCAGATGTCATGAAATAGGATTCTTTTGATTTTTTTCAACCATTTAGTAATGTAACAAACAAGTGCTGGCAAGGATGTGGAGAAAAAGAGAACCGGAATGTAGGTTGGTATAGCCATTGCAGAAAACAGCGTGGATTTTCCTCAAAAAATTAAAATATGGAACTGCCTTTTTACCCAACAATCCCACTTCTGATTATATGTCCTAAGAATCCCGAAATACCAGTCAGAAAGAATATATGCACCTTATGTTCATAGCAGCATTATTTACAATGGCTAAGATCTGGAAACTGCTCAAGTGCCCATCAGTGACTTAGTGTTTGAGTGTTGATCAATGAACCAGGAGGTAATGGTCTGATTACCGATAGAACACATGCCTGGGTTTCAGGCTCCATCCCCAGTAGGAAGTGTGTAGGAGACAGCTGATCAATAATTCTCTCTCTTCATTGATTTTCTATCCCTCTCCCTCTCCATCCTCTTTAAAAATCAATAAAAACATATTTTAAAATACATATTTTAAAAATAGGTGGTACATTTACACAATGGACCAACTACGCTGCTATAAAAAAGAAAAAACTCTTACCCTTTAAGACAACCTGGATGGACCTGGAGATTATGCTAAGTGAAATAAGCCATCCAGAGAAAGACAAATACCATATGATCTCACTAATATATGGATCTAACAAACAAAATAAACTGATGAACAACATAGAATCAAAGGCATGGATACATAGAACAGACTGACAAATGTCAGAGGGGAGGAGGGTGAGGGAGACTGGATCAAGAAATGTGAAGGAATTAGCTGAAGAACACATACATATGCATAGCCCATGGATACAGACAATAGTGTGGTGAGGTTCAAAGGAGGCAGTATAAAAAAATAATAATGTAAAAACTTAGCTGACCCGCCATATAAACCAGGCAGCAGGCCCAATGTACCAGTAGGATACAATCTAACTCCTATTGCAAATGAGGATTCTAAAATATCTGCTTTAATCGATTTAATAGTAATCCTAATATATCATTATTCCCTGAGAATGTGGACAACCTGCCTTCATCCAGAGTATATTGATTAGTTAAAAATTTCTATTCCTGGGTCCCATCTCCGTCTACTGGGACAAGACCATCACCTATTTATGTAACTCCATCCTATTCACCCTCCCCTGCTAAAGGACTCCTGAGCTGTCCAGTACTAGGTAGATCCCCAAGAAAAAGTTAGTCTAGGCCCGTGGTCGGCAAACTGCAGTTCGCGAGCCACATGCGGCTTGGATGAGTCTATTGTGAAGAAGTGATATTAGAAGAAGTTTAAAAAATCTGGCTCACAAATAAAATTTCAAACATTGTACTGTTGATATTTGGCTCTGTTAACTAATGAGTTTGCTGACCACTGGTCTAGGCCAGTTGTTCTCAATCTTTGGTGCATTGAAATCTCTTAGAGGGCTTGTTGAAACAAACATTACTAACACCTGATTGCAGGCAAGTCTAACCTACCAGATTCAGTAGGTTTTGGGATGGGGTTTAAGAACTTGAAATATCTAACCACTTCCCAGGAGATCCTGATACTGCTGTCTGGAGACACACTGAGGATGGGTGCACTGGGCTAGGCCAATCACAGTAACCTCATTATTCCTGATTGCCCAGTGACTGGTTTAGGCACAAGCCTTAGACACCATCCTAATCAATAAAAACTAAGGGGAAATATTCTGATGGGTATGTGGGTAATATTCTCCTCATTTTCAAATGGGTCACAAAAGACCCAATTATGTGCTACCTACAATATTTACACTTTAAACATAAACATGTGGGCTAAAAGGATGGAAAATTACAAAAACCTACCCACAAAGAAAAGTCCAGACCCAGGAAGTTTTCACCACTGAATTCTATCAAATACATAAGAATATCAATTCTTCACAAACTCTACCAAAAAAAAAAAAAAAGAAAAAGAAAAAAGAAAAAAAGAAACACAGCCTAACATATCCTATGACGTCAGTGTTACTGATACTGAAACCAGAGAAGCAAAAATTCTAAATAGTTTAGCAAATTGAGATCAACCATATATAAAAGGCAAACTTCATTATTACCAAGTAGGGTTTATCCCAGGAATGAAAGGTTGGCTTTCCCGTCAAACATAATGTAACTTATCATATGCACTAAAATAGAAAAACCATATAATGATCTCAAAGACTAAAGCATAATGCATCCATTCCTGATAAAAGCCCTCAGCAAGTTAGGAATAAAGGAAACATCCTTGATCGCATTAAACACGTGTACAAATACAGCATCTGTAATGAAGTAACATGAATGCTTTTCCCCTAATTTTAGAGCAAGATGAGGGCTGGAGGCTCTAGCTAGTGCAATCAGACAATAAATAAAAACAGCTACTCTGGAAAGAAAGAAGTAAAACTGTATATTCACAGATGACATGAATATATATATATATATATATATATATATATATATATATATATATATATATATATTGAGGAATCTACATAAAAGACACTAGAACTAATAAGGGAATTTTCTAGCAAAATTGTAGGATACCAGATCAATGTATAAAAGTTAATTGTGTTTCTATATAATAGTAGCAACAATCAGTATTTTTGAAATTTCACTTTCCACCTAGACTACCATAAAACACACACACACACACAGAATGCCTAAGGATAAATCTGACAAAGGATGACAAGACCTATACACTGAAAGCTACAAAATACTCTTGAGATAAATTAAAGATATAAATAAACGGGGAGACAATAGTTATGGGTCAGGCCATGAAAGATGTGGCTCCGTTGGTTAGGCATTGGCTCATGCACCAAAAGGTTGTTGGTTCGATTCCTGGCTAGGACACATGCCTGGGTTTTGGGCTCAAACCCCAGTGGGGGTTGTACAAGAGGCAACCTATGAATGTTTCATTTTCACATCTATTTCTCTTTCTCTCTCCTCTTCCTCCTCCTCATCCTCTTCCTCCTCTTCCTCCTCCTCTTCTCTCTTTTCCTCCCCACTTCCTCTATCCCTCCTTTTTTCTCTCTCTCTCTCTCCCTCCCTCTTCCACTAAAAATCAATAAAATATTTATGGGTCAGAAGATTAAATATTAAGATGTCAATTATTCTTAAATTGAGCTATTTAACACAAAATCCCAATCAAAATTTCAAAAGGCTTTTTGCATAAATGTAACAGCTGACCCTACAATTCACATGGAAATGTAAAGATCCGAGAATAGTCAAAATAACCTTTAAAAATAAAATAACAAAGTTAGACAGCTATTGCTGACTGAGACTCATTACAAATCTATAGTAATGAAGACAGTTTCAACATGGCATGAAGAGAAATAGATCAATAGGCAAAAAGAGATGGTCCAGAAACAGAGCTACACATAGATAGAATACTGATTCTTGGCAACTTACAAAGACAATTCGATGCAGAAAAGATCATCTTTTGAACAAATGGAGCTGGAACATGGATATCCGTATGCAAAAATAAACTTTGATCCATACTTCCCACAATATTCAAAGTTAA